AAAAAAAAAAAAAAAAAGATACAGCTCTCTCCAGCTGCCCTGCTCCCGGGGCAGGTAGTTCTGCCTTCCACTCAGCCTCTGGGCTTCCCATCCTCAACCCTTGAGCCTTTCCTGGGTTAGAAAGGCTTATTTCTCTGTTTAGCCTTCTGGCCCATTCCCTGCTACAGAACCTTCCTAATGTACTCGTAGGAGAACCTCATTACTCCACCTCACTCCACATCCCCATGCGACCAGAATCAAAGCTGTGGTCTGAGGGTCCCCGATACTGGGGAACAAAGCGTCAGGCTTAAGAGGATGGAGAAAGAGCTGCGCACTCACCAAGTGCAGGGTATCGGCTTTCTGTGTCTGCCTCTGCCGGCTCTTCTGGGCGGCAATGCGATTTTTCTCTCTTCTCTGAACTTTTCTCACATCATCGGAGGAGTCCTGGGAAGCAGAGATGAGGAGAGTTAGGCCAGTGTGCTCCTCCCTTCTGAGTTGAAGCGGGCTCTCGCAGTGCGGGTCTCTGGCCAGCCATCCTTCCCTGTCCTCTCTTCATTTACCAAAAGCCCTCAGCCGGAGGAGAGCTGTTCCCCAGGCCGTTATACATCCTCAGGTCTCTATGACTTTTTTTTGACCAAAATCTACAGGAAAAAGACAAGGGGTCTTGAGGCCTCAAGGGGGCCACATTCAGCAAAAATGGTTAAGGTGATGAAGTGTGTTTATCACCTCTTTTCCTCGGGGCTGCTCCACCCTCACCCTCTCACTTTTTGGCCTAGAATCTTCTTGCTATTCTTTTAGCCATTTGCTTTTTCTCAAAACCTTGTTGAGCACCTTCTATGTGCCAGCTTCTGCATAACGTCTCTTTCAGTGGGACTCCTGTTTGATTCCCTGATGCCATGAAGCTGGTATCATTGTTCAATTTTAACTGAGGCTGTAAGGCTTGCCCAGAGGCTCACGGTCATCTGGGGGTGTTGCATCATCTGTGCCAAGTCTGGTGCCTTTCCAAGATCCCCCCTCCGTGAGCCACATTGCTGCTTTGTACCCGATGAGGTCTTCTGCTGCGTCCTGAGCTGAGGGCCCTTCCCAGACCTGCCTGCCTTCGCTTGCTTCGTTGTGCTCAGCCACCTTGCATGGCCCCAAGCACAGCACCTAGTAAAAACTAGATGCCAAGAAGAACAATGTTAATGGCAGAGGTAGCCTGGATTTGGTGGGTGGTAGGTGGGTGCTTGGGAGCATGAGGGTTCATGGGGTGTTCTCTAATTTCACCCCATAGGTGGATATGCCCTTTGCTTGAACAGAGGTTAACTCCAGCACTGCCTCAGATGCTGCCAAATAAGTATAGTATTTGCAACTCCTGCCCTGTTCCCTCTCACGTCCCCCTCAGGCGAGAGGGGCACAGATCCTAGGGCAAGGCTCACCGAGCTCACCAACGTGTCCAATACTTCCAGGACATTGCAGAAGGAAGGCATTGGGTTAGATAGGAAGGAAGTGTTTGTCCTCTAAGGGGGATGGGGCACCAGGTTACCATGGAAGCCATGAGTAATTTCCTTCCTAAGAAGAGCACAAACTCCAGGCATTCAGAGCCACCCTGATACCATCTTGAGCAGGGGACCACGTCGTCTGCCCTCTAGAGGTCTCTCTCCATACCCACCGCTTCCAACCTGCTGCTCAGTTAGATGCTTATGATAGACGCTATTTTAGAGGCTTATATTTTTACTTTGGCTGCAGCATTTTGAAAGACCTTCTAGACATCTGCGCTAAGGAAAGAATGCAGTTTTTAAGCCATATAGGTGGAGAAGATTTTAATCCGCTGATACATGTTGGATGAGCAAGAATAGGCCCCCCTATAGCAAGAGATGTGAAAAGTGTGGTGAAGAGAAAGCCCCAGAAGCAGAGGTAGTCAGGGTGATTCTTTTCTTTCTTTCTTTCTTTTATTCTTTAAGTCTCTCTCTCTCTCTCCCTCTCCCTACCCCATGCCCAGGTAATTTTTCTGTTTTCAATAGATATGGGAGTCTCACTCCTTCTCAGGCTGGTCTTGAACTCCTGAGTTCAAGTGATCCTTCCCCCTCTGCCTCCCAGTGGTAGGATTGCAGGTGTGGGCCACTGCAGCTGGCCATCACTTTTCGACAACCCTGAAGCTAAAAAGTTTTGACTTGGAAGTTGAAGTTTGGACTCTAAATGCCTCCAGAATTCCTACCTCAATCTCTCTGGTTTCCCCAGGGCTCAGAGAAACTACGAGCATGTGTCTCCAACAAGTTTCCAGAGCCACTTTCTCATTAATTTCCTTCTGGACGAGAGTCCAGAAGCCACAGGGGAAAGAGGTATTGGCTGCAGCTCTCGCATCCTTCCCTGCTGGCTGTGCTAGTGACAGAGGCAGTGCCCCCACAGATGGACCCCCTGTGCCAGCGAGGTGCTCCTCTTCCCCCCTAACTTGCCTTTTTTTCTTTTTAATTTTTCCTTGACCCCTTTTTTCTGGCTCTGTCCTGAGAAACCACACATCTAGGATTGGGTGTGCGTAAACCACCAGTCCACTTGGAACGCCTCCTCTCCTGTTTCTTCTGCCTTGGAGAGCAGGAGACCCTCTCCTCTGAGTTCTTTGATGTTCAGTCTCTTTGCTTCTTAGAAAGCTTCATGGGGTGGTAATCCCGGTGAGGCAGAGGCGATGGGCACCATCAGCAGGGGGACAGGAAAAGGGGCTCTGGCAGAATGGGTGGAAGGATGAGGGTCTCCACCAAAATGCACAGCTTCACTGCAAATGACGCGTCTTAAGCCTAATAACGTGCTCATGCCACAAGCCACTTCCTCGCTCCTCAGCTCTCTGAGCAGGACGAGGAAGCCTGCCACTCTTCCTGCCCCCCGAGAAGATTCAGAAGGTAGGAGAGAGAGAAAGGAGGACTCTACCTGTTTGCCAGGAGGGGGAGAGCGGCTGAAGCTGGAGTCGCTGCTGTCGGAGCTGTGAGGCATGGCTGAAATCTTCCGGGCTCTCATACACAGTCCCAGCACCTCTGGGCTCTCTTTGTCACCAGCTGGTCTCCCTTCCTGGCTGCTCCGGGGCCACCAGCCCACCACCCTCCACAGCTGCCTCCTCTGCCTGCCCTGTGGCCACCCCCTCTGACCCCTGCGTCCTCCTTCTTGCTCTGGGGTGCAGGGGGACTGCTCCCCACAGGGACATGTCGCTCTCTCTGGGGCTTGCGCGCTCTCTCTCTTTTGTGGTTTCTGGTAACTCACACTGGAAGTCACATGGGCGGAAACTTCAACAAGTTAGAAGTTAGTTTGAGAGAAAATACATATCTGGGAAAAGACCTACAGAATTATGTGAAAGAAAAAAAAAATACAACAAAACCCCAGATACCTTCCGACAGTTTAAAAGGCAGAGCAGCTCTCTTCAATTGATGAAGATAAAAGAGAAAAACAGCTCAGGCAGGGAAAATCCCCAGCCAGAATTAGCAAGTCAACATGGGCCGAGACGAGGAGAACTGGGAAAAAGTTTCCATTGTCACAAGACTCGATTTTTAAACCAAAATAAAGCAGTGAGACTGGGATTTCTTTCTGGTTTTCAACTGAAAGCAGCTGCCCATCTTTTTTTCTATATTGGGCTTTCCCCACTGCCCAAACAGTGCAGCCAGGACCATTGCAGCCTGCCCCAGGTGCCCTGGGAGGAAGGTGGCCCAAGGGCATGCTCCTTCCCGCTGTGGAGCAGGAGAGGTGGTGGGAGAGCCAAAGCCACCGGGAAGGCCCTGGAATCCCTCCTCTAAAAGCTCATTTGTCACCTGGGGCTTTATTCTTTTTAGAGAAAAGAAGCCGGCTATTCTGAGGGTCTTTCAGGAGTACAGGGTGGGCTTTAAGTCTTTATGATTCGAGATCACCAGGTCAGAGCCCAGAATGGGAAGAACAGTAAAAACTAGCAAAACAAGCACTGCACTTGATTTAAATCCTGGCTCTATCATTTCGTGGCCTTGGGCAACTCACTGGAGCTCTCCCCCTCGATGGAGGATGGAGGATGATAAAAGTTGCCCTGCCTCCCTCTTAGAGCTGTTGCAAGGAATACACTAGAACACAGACTAGAATGCCTGAGCAGACTGTGAAGTGTGCTGCCTGAGCTGGCTGTTACTTGCGGTGTACTCCGAGCCCAGCCACGAGTCTGTCACCAGTGCTTTCTGTTTGCACTTCAACTCTTACCTGGGCACTTTGGCTCTTTCAAAAGGCACTCTGGGGCAGTGCCTGTGGCTCAGTGGACAGGGCGCCAGCCCCATATATTTAGGGTGGCGAGTTCAAACCTGGCCCTGGCCAAACTGCAAAAAAAAAAAAAAAAAATAGCTG